GAATCTCTCTAAATTCCAGAGTCTACTTAGTGGTATGACTGGAAGAGAGTATCATTACCCACAGAATGAATGTGGACAAGAATAAAAACGTGGATAAAGAAATGTAACAAAAGAAACCTGAAGGACTTGTCTGTATTTTCATTTAGGATTCTGTCCAAATTAGACCATATGGTATTTGATGTCAACCAAGTAATCTATTTAGTTGGACACCACAGTGTGTGAATACAAGAATGGCATGACTTTAGGGGTTACTACCTCGAGCTTGTGCCTTGTAGCCAAAAGTCTAAAGGGCATCTAGTTGGGGCAGTTCTCAGTTAGCCAAAAAAAAAATGATTCCACTGTTTCATAGTTGCAATCTGAAGTCTCTTGTTAGGTCATTTAAATGGATTAGACGACCTTGTTTGCAGTCTTCATTAAGAAGCTAATGAGGAGGGAACTGTCCAACGGCTAGCAGTTTAACAACTTCTTGTTCCTTTTTTTTTTTTGAAAGAAATTCATCAGAATGACCCTAAAAATCAACATACAACTCAGATGCCAGCACTCCCCCAGATGGAAAGAAAAAAAATACCCATCCACTCATGCACAGAAATGTTGTCCAACCGAACTGAAAATAGGAAGAGCTAAAATTCCAGTACTTACAGACCATAGTTGGGACTTTGGCGTCGACTCCCTCAAGTGACCTATTTCTCTCTCCAGACAGTTCACACAAAGAAAAGCAAGCCCACCCCTCCAGCTATCTCTCTCTCTTTCTAACTATAAACCTTTCAGATACCCCTCAAAGCCCTCATTGGTCCAGGCATGACCCAAACCCCAAAAATGCTAATAAGGTGTCTGCATCTCATCGTGTCATATAATACGGTTATTATGTAATGAACCATGGCTGTTTCTTCTTGTTTTGTTTTTCATTTCCTAATTACATCTTGAAGAATATTCTGTTGTAGTTCACATCTCACATATGCATGATGCATTCCATCCCTCTAGAGAGTAAGTTGCTACTGATTGGAATTGAAATATGTGTTGAATGAAGAATGCATATGTGAATTGACAGGTAACACTTGTTGCAGCAACTATTTTTAGATTTAATACAATTCCAAGAAATGCTTCATGAATACGTATTATAAACAATACTGTTCCTGTGTGGAAGGAAATGAAAACGTGCATACCCAGAAAAATGGCGTTCCCATGGATTCTGTTCTATTTTTAAAATTATTGTCTTTTGGCATGTAAGGGCTGTGATCTTTCTATTCTTTAGTCTACTGTAATTTGCCCCCCTTTTTTTTATTAATACGTTCAAATCTCCACATTTTCATTTATATGTTTGTGAAAAATGCAGGGGGTGCAATTCCATCCCGAAAGCATTATAACCACCGAAGGCATGACGATTGTTCGCAATTTTGTCAAACTGATAGAAAGAAAAGAAGCTGAATCTCAGAATTGAAGGCTTTTGTGTTCTGATCAATCCTACCTTGAGGATTGGAAACATCTATAGCTTGCAAGAAAACCATAAAATCACAATTGTGAAGCGCATAAATCTCTCTCTATTGAGGCAGAATGTTGAAACTTTGTTATATTTCCTTGTGTAATTTTTGTGTTATGAATTTGAATAATTATGTTGCGTAGTAGTTTCTGGGGATAATAAACCTTCCTGTAATCCAGCTTTAGATCAAGGCAATGTCAAGAATTCTCCCTTACAACCTGGACTGGGGCCAGTTTCCGTGCACGAGATAAGTTTCTCTAGAGGTGTCAATTGTATTTGTTGTAGTATTTTCTTGTTGTGTCTTGTCATTTCGATTTGTGTCGTATTTGTCCTAATATTCATTAATAAAAAAAAATATATTTATGACACCAATATAATTCTCAATCTTTTGGTACATGAGGAAATTTCCGGTCGAGCTTTCAGTATAATTCTTGACTCGTCCAACGTTGGCTATATGATTGGCGTTTACAAAAAATCGGCGTGATAAGCATCTTGGTCACTGGTATAATGGTTCCGTTTAGCTCTACTAAACGACCACCAGGATGACCGGTTGTTGATAATATGCTTGATCTTGGAACAATTCCGTACCAGACCTTCTGCCAAAGCTGCCACCCAACTATTCAAGAATCATGACCTTGGATTCTCTTACGGCAATGTTCTTGATCTTGGATTGAAAATTTTAATGCTAACACACATTCCACTCTATTTTGAAGTTTATTCCATTTCCAAGTTCGTTTTAGTTTTGCTTAAAATGATTTAGCGCACCCTGATCAGAATAATATGAACAATAACACTTCATTAAAGTTGGTAATATAACACATTTTCTCTAAGCAGCAGATATTTAAGCCTCAAGTTGGGAACAAAATCAGTTTAGGCAGTAACAGAAACCAATTAGTTCACCATCTACATGCCTCTTTTTGGTTTACAATGCCGGCAGAGATCAATACAACGTATTCCACCTTTGAGCATTAACTGTACCAATCTTCAAGCCCATCTGTACATCTCATGTCAAAACAAGCACTTACCACATGGTATCAGAGCTATGACTCCGTGAGGTTTTGGATTGTTGGAATTCAACATCTATTAGAAGAAACTTCGAAAATGGTAGTTTGACATTAGGCTTTCCCCCTCCTCCTGGCATTGTAACCAATCTTCATCTAAATAATTACTTACAAACATTAGCAAATGGTTCATTATCATTCATTTTGACAAGACAGTATAGTCAGGGGTAGAACAACCAATGGAACCACATGAAAGTACAAGGACTATGCAAAAGGGGAAGGAAAACAATGAATGAAAGCCCACAATTTTGATGTTATGACAAAAAATTTTATTTGAGATGTTCCAGTATACCTAAGCTCTTTTGCCAGAAATCTTATGGCAAATCCTCTTATGTGAGGCAAGTTCTAGAAACGAAAAAACATATAGGAAGCATAGAAAAAGCTGAGAATTACTTTTAAGGAAATGGTTTGATAAGTTTAGATGTACTTACCCACAAGTCATTCTCGGGAGGCCTTCAGTGAAACCCAATATAAATACGGACCTTCAGCCCATCATTGCCCAAGCCCTGTTGCTCCTGCTGAATTTTCCTGGCAGAGCTGCTTGACCAATACCACTCGATCATCTGCAGAGTAAGTATATCTCCCAAGGCTGATGGAATATCCTGCAGATGTTTACACTTATTTATAACTAGTCGCTGGAGACAAGGGAAGTGAATGTGCAACCCACTGCTGTAGATCCATATGTGAGAGTTTCAGGAATTTGAGACAATGAAATCCCCCTTCACTCATATCCCACCGTGGTCCTTTGAAAAAATTGTGTTTCAGTTTCAGAACCTCGAGGTTGGGTAACAGACCAAGGTTTGAAATTTCATTCCATTCTAAATGGCCACCTGATAAAGTTAGCTTCTTTAGATTTTCTAGGAACTTACTAGGTAAAAGAGTGATAATTGGGTCCCAACTCCTATCAACCAACTTTAATGTTTCAAGGTAATGCAAACTGGCTAGATCAGGAATGGAAAAACGGCCCTGTCCAGACAAAGGTCCTGAAAATCCCAGTTTCCTCAGATTTGGAGATCTTATCAAGAAATCCTTGCTAATACCAAAATGCCATAGCGTGGAAATTGTTTGCAGGTTACTCAATTCAGAGGGATAAAAATCTATAGAACCAGGGTTTTCGAATTCCATTTTCGAAATACGCAAATGCCTCAGTTTTGTCATTTTCCAGATGTCAATTGGGATGGTAACTCTGCCCCACAGCCCCGTATCAAGAATAAAGGTTTCCAGGTTCCAGAGTTCGGACATCTGTTGTGGTAGTCTGTGAATATGACGAACACGAAGTGCAAAGTATGTCAAATGAATCAGCTGTAATGTTTCATATGGAAAGTTGCCCAGACGGATGTAACATAAGTTCAAGACCCTAAGACGTTTATAAATGAATGATGTAGTCGGCTCACAGTGAGGATTCCACTTACAAGAATACGAGATGAAAGAGCTGATGTGTGGGGCACATGGCTTGGCAGAAACATAATGGAAGCCATGAGAATGGAAACACAAATAATCAGGAAAACTAGGACTTGAAGTAGAAGTGGCTTCTTTATACCAGTTAATTTGTTGTAGAAATTTTTTTTCCTTGGCTTTTATCAAGCACAAGTCACGTAACATATCATGAATACGACATGCTTTAATTCTACCATTTGACCTTTTCTTGGCAACCATCACTAGACTTCTATCTATTAGATCCATCAAGTAATCCTTCGCTACCTCTTCCAAGCTTTTTTGGTCTGGTTTGGTGTATAAAGCCCTCAGCAATCCATAAGCAAGTCAACCTCCACACCGAGATTTTGTAGTCTTCAGGGAACACTCCAAGACAGAGAAAGCATGATTTCAAGTGATGAGGCAAGTGCTTGTAACTCAATGCCATTATGTCCACGAATTGTTGTGCATCGTCAACCATAAATGAACTTACACTTTCAGCAACTTCATCCCACCGAACTCGTGTTTTGTCCTTTTTTACAAGGAGTCCAGCAACAATAATAATTGCAAGTGGTAATCCTTGACATTTTTCTGCGATTTACTTTCCAATTTCCACCAACTCTAGAGGGCAGCTTTCTTTTCGAAATGCTTTTTGTTGCAATAGATCCCAACTTTCAGCTTCATTTAAAAAGCGTAGACAGTGTGGAGCACAACTAGGTTTAATAGTCCAAGCCATGTCTATGTAGTAAGCAAAATTCTGCTTCCATTGTAGTCATTTGGAAATAATTTCTCAACTCGTCCCAAACATCAACATTCCATATATCATCCAATACAATCAAATATGGCTTACCCTTTAGGTGTCTATACAACTGTTCTCCCAATTTCTCATCACTCATTGTGTGAATTTCCTCTTTATGATCGACAACAGAACCTAGAATGACAAGTAACAGATCCCTCCTTCGATACACCCGAGACACGTATGTCCAGCCTTGAAAGTAGAAGTGATACATAACGAAAGGATCATTGTACACTTTTCTCGCCAAAGTAGTCTAACCAAGTCCGCCCATCCCTACAATAGAAATAGCTTCTAGTTGCTTATGTATTCCAGTTAATCGCTCTATAATTGTCATTGAGTCATCATCAAAGCCTACCACAGTTTCTTCCTCTACAGTTGGACTGCTCTCTTCTGCAAAACTTCCAGTTGAAGATAATTCAGATTTTTGTACTCCGATGCCATACAGTTTGCTCTGATATATCCCCAAAATCTCTTCCTCGAGAGACATAAATTCTTCTGTAAAACCCTTGGGCTTTGGAGATTTATCAAAGAGATGACCGATTTCCCCAACCACACCTTCATCCTTTAGCGTATGGCCATTAACTACAAACGAGTCCAACTCATCTAATGCCTCGCAGACCACATCTCCTATATGTCTTACTAACATTTTCAGTTCTTCATTTTCATCGCAATTTTCCTCTGCATCTTTGATGAATGCTCTTATGATTTCAAGATCCTCACATAGAGATTCGAGTAAATCTTTCTCAACACAAGTAAAATCAGCACCATTGCTTAAGATGTGGTTCAAGTACTCCAACAGAAAACCAATCTAAGTATTAGCCATTTCCCTCTCTACTTCTCCCCCTCCTCCTTTTCTAGAATGTATCAAGTCTTGGAAACTCCCTGACTATGGTTTTGCTAGAAACCATTATACACAAAATTAGAATGGCCCACCATTATAATATGTTTATATTGCGAAGAAAGATAAGGTTTTTACAATAAGACGTGCAGAACTTTTAATAGTAGTAGGACTCCACCACTGAATTTACAAGCTGCAATAATAAAGAGTATGATATGATTAGAGTTGGTCATTCTTTGGATTATTATATTTTTGTATTGTCACTATCTTTATGCCATAACCTGCTTTGGTTTTTTAGCAGGTTAAATGACTTTAGAGGCCAGTGTTGTAAGTAGTATTGATGATACACTGCACTTTGGTAGCCCAACCCCCTCCCTTTCCTCCTCCTCGTCGGCCACTAATCAAGTGCAATATTATCCGAACAAAAAAGGTCAAGCTGTTAAAGCTTTGAATTTGCAGTACTAGCAGCCCCAAGCAACTCTTCACTGTACTAGCTAGCACTCTCAAGTCTCGAGCGTTGTTTCAATTCAATTTGGGATAGCATTGCTCATTTCTGCCTCCCCCCTTGAGAGAAGCCACCATTGTTGAGTTGACACGTGGGCTATATTGTTTTAATAGGACTGAACTTGAATGACTAGGATAAGCTCATATAATATTACCATTTTTATTTATTTTTGAATTTCAAAATAGATTGTGCTTCTGAATAATGTCTTGTTGAGTTGGGCTTATATTTATATTTTACATGCATAAAATATGATATACAAATAAATATACACACATGGATATGTTTTTTTTATTAAAGGTTTTATCAATCAAGTATCAAAATGGTACTCGACATTCTTTTTTTTTTTATCATATCATGTGATGTTATGAATTGAATTCAAAACAAATTTTAACAACAATAATTTTTTTATTTTAATAAAATCATCATCCATCTTTTTTCGAAATTCAATTTTCAAGACATTCATAACCAAAAAACAGCAGAATTTGAAGTTGAAATAAAAATAAGAACGTTAGGACCCACCCACCACTGTGTAGAATCATTAGGTTCAGGTTCAGCATCTTCTGCGAAAAGAAGAGTGGTAGAAGAGGATGCAGACGAAATAAAAAGGAAAAGCTTCAAAGACTTTTGCTTTCATTGATTAACACATTCACTCTCTGAGACAAACGGCGGAGGAGATGCCTGCCATTCTGATTGATTTCCTCCTGGAGAACCTCAAGGAGCTACTAATTAGCGGTAGAGCCGATTCAATCCTTGTTGAGAAAAATCTAGTTGAATATCTCTTCGAGGAGCTTAATTTCATACAAGACTTTCTTAAGAATTCGGAGGATCAATACAATGAGCATAGCGAAGTTGAAAGTTTAGTGAAAACAATTAGATTTGTGGCTAGCAGGGCACTTGAGCACCTGGACTCTCTTCTAGTCAGTGATCTAGAGAAAAAAGATGAAAGAATTGATGAACATTTCACCCATGGTTGTGGTTATGGCTATGGATTTGATTATTTTTCATGGATTAGAAGTTTTGTACAAGAGATTAAGCATATCAAGGGAAAGGTGATGGCGCTTTATGACAAGAAGTTGTATCTCATTAAAGTCCCACACGCACATATATCGTTTGATGAAAGTTCCACAAGAGATATTAGTCCTAGTGTTGAGGAAGAAATTGTGGTGGGGTTTGAGGATGAGGCGCTGACCCTGGTAGAGAGGCTTACTGGTATACAACAGCAGTTGGAACTTATACCGATTGTCGGGATGGCGGGTCTTGGTAAAACAACCTTGGCAAGGAAAATCTACGATCATCCTCTCATCGTGTATCACTTTTATGTTCGTGGATGGACATATGTGTCTCAAGTGTATAGAAAGAGGGACTTGCTGATTAGCATTCTAAGTTCTATTGTGAAAGATAAAGATGAAATAAACGGTACGAGTGATGAAAAGTTGGGAGAAGAGTTATACCGACGATTGAAGGGTAGGAGATATCTGATTGTCATAGATGACATGTGGCAAACAAAGGCTTGGGATGATTTGAGAATATACTTTCCAAATGATTACAATGGAAGTCGAATTATTTTCACCACTCGGCTCACGGATGTGGCCTCGCATATTAGATCTGATAAACCTCCTCATTCTCTGCGTTTCCTGACCCAATATGAAAGTTGGGATCTGTTGCAACGGAGGACATTTCAGAAAGAAAAATGCCCCTTGGAGTTGACAAAAATTGGAAAGGAGATTGCCGCAAAATGTCAGGGACTACCGCTTGCAATTGTTGTGGTAGCTGGAATTCTCTCCAAGAAAGAGAAGTCACAAGAAAGGTGGAAGCAAATTGCTGAAAGTGTAAGTTCGTATGTTGTCGATGATACAACGCAGTTCATGGATATACTAGGACTGAGTTACAAGCACTTACCTGATTGCTTAAAACCATGCTTTCTCTATTTTGGAGCATTTCCAGAAGACTATGAAATCCCTGTGTGGAGATTGACCTGCTTATGGGTTGCTGAGGGATTTATCCCGAAAGTTGGGCAAAAATGCTTGCAAGACGTAGCGGAGGACTACTTGATTGATCTTATTGGTAGAAATCTCGTGATAGTTGCCAAGAAACGGTCCAGTGGTGGAATCAAAACATGTCGCATCCATGATATGTTGCGTGACTTATGCCTGAGAGAAGCCAAGGAAAAGAATTTTCTACAGCAGATTCTCAGGTATGAAGAAGTTGCTTCAAGCCCCAAATCTTTGTGCTTCCATTCTCACGGTTTCCATCATACTACATTTGGTTGTTATCCACACATAAACTCGTCTCTCTCAAATTCTTTCGAATGGGGACCATTCCATTTTGGAGAGTCATTCATTTATAAAGCTCTAAGGGTATTAGATTTAGGGTATATCGCCTTGAACCATTTCCCCCTTGAAGTATTACAGCTAGTTCATCTAAGGTTCTTGGCACTTTATATTTACTATGCTGACAGGCTACCGTTATCCATTTCCAACCTCTGGAACATGGATACTTTTATCCTTTGTCAAGGGCCAGGGGCTAGAGTTGTTTTGCCTCATACTCTTTGGAAGATGGTAAGATTGAGGCATCTATTTATTTCACACCATGTGGAATTTGAAGGACCTTGCTCCCCTGATGGCTATCCCTTCATATTGGCTAACCTGCAAACGATTTCGAGTATGAGTCTTTCGAGTTTTTGCAATGATGTGTTAGCATGCACTCCCAACCTTAGAAAATTGGGATTTTTTCAAACATTAGAGTGTGGGAATTTTTCCTTTCCTGGTCTTGCCAATTTAATTCATCTACGGACATTGAAGTTTATAGATTGGAGTAGTACCGCACTAATGTCAGGAATTTCCCAAATGAGTAAGTTCCCACCAAATCTGAAGAAGCTAACTATATCCGGTAGTCATTTGGATCAGACGATAATGGCAACCATTGCAATGTTACCCAACCTCGAGGCTCTCAAACTAAAATGTAATATCTTCAAAAAATTCCTGTGGGAAACAAGTGATGGGGGGTTTTGTCGCCTTAAATTCTTGAAGATTCAAGATGCTAAGCTTGACGAGTGGATTGCCTCTAGTGATCACTTTCCCAGCCTCCAGCGATTAGTGTTGGACGGATGTCAATATCTTCGGCAGATCCCAATTGGCTTAGGGGATATACCAACACTAGAGATGATTGAGATACATGGTCCAAACAAAGCTGTTGTGGATTCTGCCCTGAGAATTCGGATAGAACAGCACAACATGGGAAATGATGAGCTGAAGGTCCTTATTTACTCTTCATACTGATTAGTAACCGGATCTCAATAACCCTTCCTCAGGTGATATGTGATTCGTGCACCAGAACTCATGAAATCACGTCTGTACACATTTTTGTTTGTTTCATTTTGTGCTATTTTCTTCTTTTTTTTTCCTAGAGTGCTTCATTAATTGCTGAGCATTCATTGTATAACTCTGGCAAAACAATGCCCCTGTTTTTTATCTCCCCACTTTTTTTTTATTTTTCATGATAAGATAAAAAACAAATTGACAACCAATCACATGAGTTGGTTATGATGACATCACAGTCCATTACCATCATCTGCGAGCGGCCGCCAGAGGAATTTTATAACATTCAAGCAAGACAATGAGAAACCCCTGAGGCACTCCATGGACGTATAATTTATTTCCTCTTATTTTATGTTTTTCTGATGAAAAACCAAGATCACTGCAGAGCGTAAGCACAAAAAGATTGTAGCAGGATTCGCTAGATCTGTTTTCAGAATCCACACTCTAAACAATAGAATACTGCTATCAGTCTAAAGAACATTAAAGATAATGAAAGTAGACCAGGACATGAAACTCTCGTTATTGTGGTCTAAGACAAATCCAATGTATTTAGTTTTACCCGTAATAGGAGAGACTTTTTTTTGTCACTCGAACCTGTGATACCTTTACAGTGGTTCAGTGAATTAACATTGTCTCGGCGACCTAGCCCCCACTCAAGTACACTTGAGTATGAATAAAAAACATGGATGTGCCCCTTGAAAACTATCAGCTTAAATTGCCATTGAAATAATGTAGAATGGTCGTGATTGTAATCATCTCTCATGCTTTGGCACAAAGTGCAAACTTGATTATTGCTGTTGGAGTTTGATTCTAATGTTCTGGATCTCGAGTTTGTGGTAAGCTGAAATCTTGGTGCTAAATTCCAGTGTTGGGACTTGGGAGTTATTCCTCCTGTCCTTATACCACATTAAATCACCCGTTGTTTTTTTTTAAAAGCTTAAATTGATAGAGATGACACAATAAATAATACTTATATAATTTTACACACCTATTGGTCAGCTATCGAATTAGCATGGGGTAGCAGTTGCCTATGTCCAAACAGTGTCGTGCCTAACTATCGAAAGATTGAAGAATTGCAAAACAACTACAACATTTTGTCAGAATAACATGCTATGAGCATTTACGTTTGTATATCTACCACGAAACAAGAAAAATAATGTGAGTTTCTTTAGCATTGTGTCATTGGTATATCACCATCCGCCTGTGAAGATTTGGCCTTCTTTGAAGGATGAGCAGCAGCATCGTTTATTTTTTGTGGAAAAGTTTATTATTTTTGAAACAAAGATCAAATAATTTTTTTTTTGGCTATAGAGTGTCCAAAGCTTGCGTGGACTTCTCCTTCGAGCTGGTCCCCGTAACTTGAAAGATCAAATAAATTAATTATATTGCGGAGAAACATTTATTTGATTACACATATAATAATTAGAACACCTACCTACCGCACAAATAAAATAATTCAGTGGTGGCTTTCACTTATTTTAGTGATTCTATTAAGTTTGAGTTTTTTTCATATGAAACTCAAATCCATTGGCATTATGCCTTGAAGCATGTGCGGGTGCACTTATGGAAGGAAAATGCGATTGTGGCAGGTTTTGTCGCAAGGGTATGGACAATCTATCTCTTGGAACTGACTCCGATCATAAAACCAGTCTCCAACTGCCTTCGCCATTGTCTGCATCAGCACAATTTCATGCAAAAAATGAATTAGATTTCCTTCTCATAGAGTATGAGGCGTAATTGAGATGATCAAAATAAGCTAAACAACATGTGTGTCTGTATTTGTTGAGAAAGGAATGAGAGAGAAACATTAATTAAGATGGGACTGGGAGCATTCTCTCACCGTGTTTCTTAACTTGGAAGAGCCTTCCAACAACCAGACCTCCTGTAATTCAGATTGGCAATGAAGATAGCAAGAGTTGATAAATAGACCTCTACATGAAGAGCTGCCCAAACCTGTGATAGCACTTAAAAACTCCATCCTGAAATCTAAAAAATGGAAGAAAAAACAAATGTGAGTCAAGTGTCATATATACTTTCTTATTTGTTGATTCATTTATGTCTGACGGAAGCTTGAAGGGGGTGAGTTCCAACTTCCAAAGCTGAGGGGCTAATAAGAATGAGGATTAGTGATAGGATTGTTAATTTCATTCATTATCAGTGATAGGATTGTTCTATCATCCTTTGAGTTTACCCATAAATTATAAGGATAACCTTTCCTTTCATACATGAGATGAGACTCA